CATGGCAAAAAAGCCGACCCCCGCGCGGGCCCCGCCCATAGCCCCGGGGATCCCGGCTGGCGTTTCAGGGGGCTGCTTGTGGTCCCTCCACCCCCCCTTCTTTTTAGGAAACGTAGCCTGGCGGATGGTGGGCATAACCGATCTGACGGGGCCACCGGCCCTGGGCTCGGGGCTGGCGGGTGCACGCCGGACCTCCCCAAACAAACGGCCGCCTCAGCATTCCGGAGCGCACGACCTCGGACGACCGTCTTGCGGAGGCTTGATCCAAAGTTTGCCTCGTCAGGCTAACGAAGTTGGAAAAGAGTAGTGTTATGAACAAAAACTTGGTCTCAACAACAACATCTGAGCCAACCGCATACTTATATTTTCCCTACTTAAAGTTGCTCAAATTATAAACTCTATCTGATTACTGTTGCGATCGAATTATTAGACAAAAGCATTGTTGAGGTTGGTGAGTCTTTTTATGAGGCTCATCAACATTTATGTTTTTTCACCACTGCATTTTTCTCCAAAGTTTTGAGCAAAATCTCAAGGAGTGCTTTTGCATCCTGAAGACGTTGCAGTTGTCAGTTTATCACAAAAATATTAAGAATACCTATTCCCTTTCGATGGCATAGCCTGTGATTCACTGGCTTGCCTCCTCCTTTTCCATTATCACCATTTTCCTTTAAAATGAGTCTAGCCTTTGAAGAACTAGAGGCATCTCTAGCCACTTAAACTGATGCGCAGCCCACTTCCTTGCAGGCAATTGAGGCTATCCTTCTCGAAGAAAAACGTACAAGAACACATTGCTATACTCCCATAGAATAAACAAGGGTTTATCTACTGACAAAAATTTTCAATACTACACCAAATAGTGGTCGAACTCTTCGATGTGGACAAAACAACAAAGAAGAGAAACACGATAATCTTTATTCAGACAAATTAGGGCAACTCACGCATGGGTAGTGTCCGTGTTGAATGACCGTGTCTCAAGTTCGATTAAATTTCCTGCGTCATCCTTGAAGGTGGAGCGTTTAAAGAGATCCACTATGCAGCGAACAGGTGCTATCTCGTCGATTGAGCGGCAGTCCCCGCGGAGAATCATCTCTTCCATAGTGTCAGTCCACATGACGGAATGAGGTATTTGGCTGGCCAGGATCGCGGCGCACATGGTGACGGTGCTATTGGTATTGGCACCTTCCTCAAACGCGTCCAGCAGAAGACTGCTCGTGTACCGTCCTTTGTGTTGTTTTTCGCCGATATTCAAAGACTGAATAGCGTCTCGGACCTCTTCACGAAACTTTTCGTCAAACGGTTTAAATGCACTGCCCGTTAAATTTGTTACCCATAATGGTCGCGCCAAGGCCTTTTCCGAAGGCGAAACTGAAAGTAATTTCCGAAGCTCGTCCTCTTCGGGCAATGCTTCACGGACTACCTCGAAAAAGCGGTCCGCACATTGCCGAAGCTTGCTGGTATGAAAAGGGATTTCAACACTTAGTGGAATGAACCATGATTTTTTTTTTAACCCACTGCGCCCCTCCTCCTCCAAGGTTAGGCTTGTGAGCTTTTCTAGCGGAGGAGTGTAGCCGTCGTCAGGGCCCTCCAAAAAGCGTCGGAAAATCGATCGATTTCCATACTTCCTGCGTGCCGAGGTCGCGAAGTCCACGGAGGGCTTCTCGGTATGCGGATTGTAGTTAATCCCATCCCTTGCATCAAGACGGGCAGAACGAAGTGCGTCCCTTACGATCCCATCAATCGTGGTGTTGTGTGGGCAATTCGCTCGAAATTGTGGATCCAAGCACTTTCCCAACACGGCGAGAGCCACCGTATCCCCCGCCACAACGTACTGCTGCCGCAGAATATTATAGTTCACAACCTCAACAAAAGATGTGGTGGTCGATAAAGCCGTCGAAATGAGCTCGACCATGGCAAAAAACGTATCGTCAGCCGTCTCAGGATCTTCGTGTAACTTGGCGCGAATAGGGTTGCACGCGTACATCAGGTGGCGCGACCGGTCATAGTTCTCGAAGACCTTTTCCATCAGAAGTCCCCGTTTGAAGACTAAGTTCAATGCGGTTTGTGTGGTGAACACTCCAAGCGCGCAGAGCGCCGTAATTTCGCCCAAACTATGGCCCGCTATCATTGAGTAGGTGCTCATGTCAAAATTCGACGTTTCCCTTAGTTTTTCAAGAATTAGCATCTGCGCAGCCAACACACAAGGCTGGGTTAAGTAGGTAAGTAACATGACACCGTTCGGATTTTCTATCAAGAACGATTTTGGTTCGGATTCACTAACATTTTGTACGGTTTTGCAAGAGTAGCTCAGGACTTTATCAATGTCCAAGGCGTCTTTGCGCAGAAACAATTTTGTGGGGTTTTCATGAATAACACTCTGAAGTGAAATGCCATAGTTTTGCATCATGCAATCCTTCATATCTTCCCATAGCAAAGACATTCTCCTGGTGTTGATAAGATTCATGCACATGCCTTTGCGATGTGCACCCTGCCCGGAAAAAACAAGGGCCCTTTTATGCATTATGACCACCTATGAAATAAAGGAACGGTTTAGCGGAAAAAACAGGAGTGTTTTACAGATCATCGGTTACTTCACCAAGCAGAAGTCGCTTCCGTTTACCCTTCAATGACCACACTGCAAAAGGGAAAAATTGCAGCCTAAAATAAGCAAAGTGAAAGACTTTTTCCCCAGATTCCCATCATCATTGGCTTATTTTTACGAAATAATTAATGAATGATACCCACAATTTTCGCATAGCATGTCGTGTGATTCAGTAGCCCCCTTCCCTCCCCATACCACTATTCCTTCACAATATGTACTCTCCCCTCCCCTCTGTAACAATAACTACATTATGGAAAGTCTTAAGAGAGTTGTGGGGAAGCAAACGATAAAACCGGAAAACACTCCTTGGCCCATCACAAGAATGGGGGTTTACGTTTAGGATAATACGTGAGGAGGAAATAATGCTGGATTATCCACAAGTGTTTCAACATATTCATATACTCCTCATAGTGTAGTTGAATCATAACACGAGCAGAGAGTAATGTATGGAAAACTGAATATCCTCTTCACATTACTTTGATCTCTACTAATCATGCTGTATCCTAATAAAAGGTAGACATACACAGGGAATAAGTTCGTATGAGCCATATGATCATACTCGTAGCATTCTTCTTTAAATGAGTGCAAGGCATCTTTAGCTGATAAGATCTATTGACGATACTAAATACTCAAAAGCGTAATTCTTTCTCAAAATAAATCCATATCAGGTTTATACTTGTTTTTTTGAGTCTTGATATTTGCTGCAGTCCTTATGCCATCGCAACGCTATTAACCTGTTTATAGCAAGCCACCTGTGAAGAGCGAAGACAGGAAAAGACACAGAGCTTATGCAGCCTTTTTGAGATTTTGATCGGATGACAATAAATCTAAATTTGCTTCTATAGATGGGCTTCCTCGATTCATGGCTTACTATGTGGCACCACCAGAAGGCTAGTTTATAGCTTCAAACTGAAGCGCATCAATCTAGAATTGCTCTCTCGCCCTCCCCTCCTCCCTCCATACTCCGATAGATGAATTTCACATGAGGTATTCCTACAAATTACGACTAATGTCAAGTGTATTAATCTGCCTATTGCTCGCTGCACTATTTTCACGACGACAATGCGGTTTCCGCGCGCTTCGACACTCATTGCCAAAGGGGGTAAAGCGCTGACTGGTATTTGGTATTCGATTTCATCCCGTGCTCGGATCGAACACACTCCGTTATCCAGCCTTTGAGCAACCGGTTAAACAGAAGCACCTCCTTTGAAACGGGCGATTGAGGGAAAAAATGCGTGTGCACCGAACCAAGGCATTTCCCGTCATATCGAACCGACCGATACCGCGGCGCCATCGTCGAATGGTCGGGCGAAATCGAGAATTTAGCAACCTCCCGCGTGGGATCCCCGCTCGGGTTCTGAAATAGACGCCAGTATCCATAGTTATGCTCCGGTGGGAGTTCATACAACCGCGTTCGATTCGCAGCCGCAACGGTCTGCAGGGAGGCCTGATCAAAGTAAAACGAGGTTTGAGTTGCTTTTCGCCACTGATATAACACGAGCGGATGCGTGGCGACCACAAAACCGCCATTGTACACCCCAAACAGTCGCTCCTCCAAGTGATGGATGCGATGCGGTGAGAGCGCGACGATGGCATCCCGCGGGATCTCCGGTAACGGGGCGAGAAAGCTTACATCACAGTCGATGAAAGCCACCGTGGGGGAATCCTCCTCCCCCCCATCTAGGATGAGATCAGGCGCGGAATTGAACGCCGAGGAATCGCTTCGACGGAGGGAAAGGTTCGACGTTGCCATCGCGAGCTCCATCAAGTTTGCCTTTTCCATCATAAAGTCGGTATGTCGGCTTGGATACCAAACCCCCCGCTCCCGCTCCATAGCATGGCGTTCGATCATGGGACCGTACGGATCCAAGCACGGCACCCATCGAATGTGAGGATCCGAACGAAACGGTTTCATAAAATCCCAGAAGGATCCATCCGTGAAGCTCCCTTGCCTGCCTTGCGTATCATATTGTCCGCCATCGATCCATTTCAGGAGCTCGGAACTGCACCCGATTACCAGAGGAAGTGTAGGATGAAAAGCACGAAGCGATGTGAGGAATAGCGCGAGTTCCTGCGCGCACTCTTTCGTCGCCATCGAGCACACCACATCAATGGGTTTGAAGTGCATCCGGCAGTTAGAGCTTCGTTTAAGCATGCCCTTTCGATGGGTGTATGACGCCTAAAAAAAATTCCTGATCACGAGTATCCAAACGTTGGTAAGAAGCATAACCAGACGAGCGAGCCAATCCAGCGTAATCACACTCTACAAGTTAAAAGTAGAATAGGGATGTAAAGGCAATCGCAGCTGGGCATTGAATTTTTTCCATTCCCATCACTCAGGGAGGGGATATCGACTTTGTTATAGAGGTGGGGAGTTGCATAGTCTTTGTTTCTTTAAATTTCAAGAAACTTACGCATACGATCATGGCAAATTACTTTGGCAATGGCAAATCGGACATCCCTTTCCTGAATACAAACGTTTTCAAACAGGGAATGGGGCGATTCGACATCGTCAGGAGGCATGAAATCCTTCTCGCGTGGGTCCCCGCGAGAGACGTCAGGCGCGTTGGGGGTCGGGAAAACCTCCCACGCGTGATTTCCGCGATTCGCTCGCGGGTGGAGGGCGCGATGGCGCTCCCAAAACGCCGCGCGCACCGCCCCCCACGCACCGTAGCCGATCCTTCCCTCCCCCTCCCCCCTCCATGCGAAAGGGAAAGGCCTCTTCCCCCCCACCTCCCCCGCCGTTTCTTCCGGTTTCCCCGCTTCCATTTCCTCCACGTGGGCAAAAAAGTTCGATAGCAGCGCGTGCACGCCGAGGAGACTTCCCGCGGTGCGCAAATCCTCCGCGATCGGCCTCGCGATGCCGTTCACGCGACGCGGCACCCCCTCGTCAGGGGATTTCAACGGCAACACCCGACGACGCGATCGCGCCGTGCGTCGTCGCCGCGTTTCCTCGGCCTCCTCGAGCCTCTGGGGGATTTGCTCGCGCTGCAGGGCGGCCGTGATCGATTCGAGGACGACCTCCACCATCAAAAAGGCAAGCCCCGCGATTTTCACCTCCACGTCGTACAACGGCGACGAGGGAAGTGTCTTTTGCTCGCGGAGGTAATCCGCGAGGCGGGTTTGAACGGCCTCGATGTAGAGCTGAATGCCGTCGGGATCGGCCGCCATCGTGGCGAGAGGTCGTTCCCTATTCGCGTGGATCGCCGGCATCCGGATAAGAGCCCGCTCGGGTAGAAAAGACGGGATCCCGGCGAGAGGGGTGCCCTTCTCTTCCTCATTCCCTGCAAGAATATCCGTTGGGTTCGGGCGGAAGATATGACGCGGAAAGGGCCGTGGACGAACCGTGCTTTGAAAGTAAATTTGATAATTATGCGCTACACAATATTGCTCGAGCGCACGGATGTTCGCGCGAACCTTTTTCGACGTACTAGGATCGTCCAGGAAAGACTGACGGCCTGCTGCGGATTTGCTAAGCCACCAATCGATGAATTGCAAAGGCAGCTCACTCATTACGCTTTCAGAGCATAACTTTATTTCACTATTTATGGTGTATACGCGTGTGTAGGTAGAAGGGGGGATGCTAAGAGAAAGCACATGCGAATATTTTATATGATGTTCGAATTTACATAAACGACGGGGAGTTTTTTGAGGAGCCACTGATTTCGATCGACTCACCAGAGAAAAAGAGTCAGCCTTTACAAATATGTTAAAGTCGATGCAGGGAAAGGTTGCATGCACTGCCGTTATTTCTCTCCTCGTACGAATTCCTCATGCAGATGCTTGTGGGAGGTTCCACTTCACAATTTTACTAAACCAGAGACGAAAGACAAACCACTCATCATCATCATCTTCATCCGATAGGAAGGGACGGGGGAGGGAAGAGGGGGGTAAATATGCATTGCCTTATCAGAGGAAGGGAAAAGGCTTGCATTTATTTTTAGTTTCCTTACTGCGACTGTGCAGCCCATTTGCATCGATCTTCGAGGCTCCAATTTCTTAAAATATATAAATAAATAAACAAACTTGGTTCACTCCCATTGTTAGTCTTTAGAAATCAACATAGACGCCGAGGCTTATGCCAAAACACCACGGTTGTTTCCCCCAGCGGCCGCGTTCGAGGAAACCTTATCATCCTTCGCTCCCACACCGCCTGGGCGGCTAAGCTTATGCAGCGCGATGAACTCATCCATCTGCTTTTCCTTCTCGGTGAGGCCCTTATTCAGCTGCGATAACGCCGCGCGTATTGCCGTCAGGTTCTGTTCAATCTCCGGCAGCACCTCTCCCACCGTCCGCTCCACGAGCGCGCCGCCAACCAAACGATGGCAGCAGCGATCGACGTTGAGCGGGCGAAGCTCCTCCGCGACGAGCTCGTGCTCGTGGCTTTCATTTTCCAGCTCCGCGATACGCGACATAATCGTGCTCTGCTCCTGCCGAAGACGGTTGTACTGTTGTACGATCTGTTCCTCCTCCGAAGAAGTTGCCATATTTCAGTAAATTCGATATTTAGTTGTTCGATTCAATTGTATGAAAGTATGAAGCGGGAAAGAATGGACCCAAAGCAAAATAGATTGTACAACCTACTCACAATAATCCTTTTGCTATGCAATGGTTCGTGTGAAGAAAGGGAAAAGACTAGAGACCGTTATCAGGCATAAGCTCCATCTAAACGTTCATTTACCCTGATCGGAGAAAGAAAAATCACCCGTGGCTCCGACCAAGCGACAACCAAGAATAGATAGTTTAAAGCGCGTACTCACTTATCTGATATTAGCCTTGTTGTGGAACGAAATATTCACACAGCCCATTAAGAGGAGAAACCCTTCTCAACCCTCCCCCAGCACGAGAGAAGGAGCAGGGAGAAGGGGGAAGGGGAGCATCTAATCCCCCTAATCATCCCTGTCGTCGTTCCCGTCCAGACGGCGTTTAATACTCTCCCACAACAACTTCACCCTGCTTTCGTTGTGCAGCATCTTCTCATTCGCGAGCTTCAGGAGCGCCCAGACGTAGGCCCGTTGCGTCCGGACGTGATTCACGCCGGCGGAAACCACCGGCACCTCCATCGCGCATCCATTCGTGCTGCGAATCGCGCACATCACCCGCCGCCCTGGGGGGATCACCCCGCTGTTGCGGTACCCCGCATCACTCACGGCCGCAGAGAGCAACCGCTTCGCGCTCTCCATCCCACGGCACTCCACGTGCATCACAAACGGCTCCATTTTTAAACACACCATCCCGAAGGTGGGGATGTTTTGCGGAATTTCTCCTTCCAAAAGGCCCTCAAGCTCGCCACCATAGGCCTCCGAGGGGGCGATCTCGCCACGGAGTTCCGCTTCATCCATCGCGCGATCCCCTGCGTTAAGGGGGGGGCCACAGAGGAAACGCACCACCGCGAGCTGCTCCGCCGGGAGGAGGGCGCCGTGCTTCACGAAGATCCACCCGAGAGCGTCGTCGCCGCCGCGTTTCCGCCCTCCCCCTGCGGAAAAGTCGCCCTCCCCGTCTTCGCGAAACCCCTCACGCGTCGAATTCACCGGGTGATCCTCGCCCGTGTTCGTTTGGCTGTGAAAAAGCGCGATCCGACCACTGCAGCTGCTTGTCGTGATGTAGTCGGGGTGGTTATTGAGAATAGCCATAATCGGAAGGCATTTGGCGTCGACGCTGCCTTTCGGGCTGAGATCCCCGGCATTGCCACCAAGATCAGCGAGGATGAGGGCCTTTCGCTGCGCAAACTCGCGATCGCGCTGCTTTTGCAGGTTCGTCAGACGTCCCAAGGCGAGGTTCTTTCGTGATGGAAACTTCCCTCCCGCGTCTTTCGCCACGCTCAACGACGGGGTGTCGTTTTTGGATTGACGCGAACCTTGGCTACGATTGCTTGGCCTAACTTCGTGGGTCTTAGAGTCCTCATCGCTAGTTTGAAATTCAATGTCCCCCAGCTCAAGCATGGCCTGCCTTTGTACCAATTTCTTTATGCTATATAAATATGGAAAAAAATAAATGCAATAATAGGTTCTAATCTGATGATCATGGGTTCCCAGTATCGGCAAGGACTCCTCACATGACCGACGAATGGTCGAATCAATTCAGTTATCATAGGCCTCCTCTCACACATCAAGCGCATTTAGAGGAAGGAATGCTCGAACCAATTCACGCTCTCCCCCGCCAATGTTTCCCATTTACACGTTTCATAGTGAGCAGCATCTCATAAAGAAATCCAATACACATGCCAAAACTCGTTAAGCGGGGCTAGCCGTGAGGCATTACCAAAAGTACGAAATTTTTTTCAAGACAGAAAACTACAGGGCGTGTGTGGATGTGAGCGGGCGACCAATGGTATTGTCATTTTTGAGAATCCCTAAACGAATCATCCTTTGAGTTCACTCAAGCCACAGCACACCTCAGGGTGCAAGTACACACCACCTTTGAAAGCATAGCGCCGATAACACGAGCGCGCGGGGTTCGGATGCAATATTCCTCCTTCCCCCTCCTACAGGCATCATTTCTAGTGTTATTTCCCTCCGACTGCATATCAAACGCCCCCGTCAGACCATCTTGACTACAGCTATCCACTTCATATCTACTGCTTGGAGAGAAATCCAGTAACGGGAGTACTCACACTCCTATTGATGAGAGAATATCCATCCTGATCTAGCAGAACATAGACGCGAAACCCATCTTCCATGCTACGCGAAGTGTTAGTCGGGATTACCGACCTTCGTTAAGCTGCGTTCAAGAGGAGTCTATCATCAATAGAGGTAAAAAGGGAGGAAAGGAAAAAGAAAGGTGTGTGTGTGTGTGCGTGCAAAGGATGATGAATTCGTGGTATTTGGTCATCCAAACCTTTCTTTAGCTCTTTATTTTTTTTTATTAATCAATACGTATACATCCATGTCAACATTAATAATTAGGGAGTATGAAAAGGTAAGTAAATCGGAAAAAATAAGACAAATATTAGGATCACTAGATGTTCATATAATCGTAGCAAACGATCTGATGTAAATTACCATCCAGCACTAATTCTTCCAATCCTGTTTCCATCTTTTTAGGGATGTAAGTGTGAAATAGCAGCCATAAGACATTCCAAACTAACCCAAAAACACATATTATGGTGGGGTTTTATATGATACAATTGTTAAGATATATAAGCTTATTTAACCTGCTTCATAATTTCAGACGTTCGTGGCGTCGTAAGTGGACCATCCCAGTCCCCATTACATGTATCAAATATCAGTAATGCCACGGCTTCACCATACATACACGTCAAAGAAAGGGAAGGGTCTACGCATGGGAAGGCTAAGCCATACCACCGGAGGCTAAGAAGACGTCGTAGCTTGCTTCACGGCGCTTATTCGTGTTTCGTCTAATACTTGATATGGGAAAAACACCTCTTTGAGATTATTCCACACCCCACGGTCGAACAAGCCGCGTAAATCGATCAACAACGCCCTCCGGACATAATCGCGGTATTTTTTATTTTTCTTGCCGCCTTCTTCGTATCCGGGTTCGTTTGCGAAAGGAGGTTTGGGCAACCTGTAGAGTGCTTTTGGGCGCCGAAAAGCGACTTTCTCAAGCCTCTCGCAGTACTTCATCGCCTCCTGATACACCAAATCCAACGTTGGCATCTCGGATAGAAAATCTGCGAGATCTTCCATCTTGTTGAGGTCATTGATTGTTACGTTTCGAATTACAAACCTCAGGTTATAAATGAAAAAGCAGTATAAAAAGATACTCATGATGCCCGCAAAGAAAATCAGAAACACATTGCGGGGCTGAAGAAAGATGAGAACCCTTGCATAGTCGATATAGCCTAAGGTAATCGTTTGGTCATTACTCAATCGCAGTTTCCACCCCCACGCGTTATTCTTGAGTAGGAATTGCTTAATGCATCGAAATAGATCCGAGGACGCCCATAGGCAGGAAACGGTATGCAGAAACAGAAAAGTCATAAAGTAGCGGTGCGTCCCTTCCGCCACATCGTTGTTAATCCATGGGCAGTGGTGGTCGAAGCGGCGAACGCACACATTGCAATACCTACAGTGTTTGCTTCGACTGGGTCGTGGAATGAAGCAGGTGAGGCATGTCATACCAATGGGCATCAAAGTTTCATGATCATCGCATTCAACTTTTTTTGGCGTAGCATGCGCGTTCGGGCTGTAACATCCAGAAGCAGGATAAATAATGCCGTCAATAGCATAATGGTTGTTCAAAACATGTTCTTCCTCTTCTCGAAATGCTGAGCATCTCCACTTCCAACAAAAATGTTTTTTAATGCTATCGCATAGTTTTATAAGTAAATTGGTATAAGTTGTCTGATCTTTTTTTTGTTTCCTTGCCGAGCCATTGGTTCTTTTCTGAGCAGGAAAGGATTTTTTTTTGCTTCGGAAAACGTACTCGCGCTGCTTCTCCAATTCCCACCCCGGTGTCACCCTGCCCGGGTTGGTAAAAACGGCTAGGGCATAAAATACCTCCGAGGAAAGGACTAACGCCCAGGAAAGAGCCTTAGACCACGTGGAAGCGCTCAGTTCAGGTAAGGCATGTAACAGATAGACGTACTCTATAGGCCAGACTAACGCAGCGTAAAGAATCACAAAGGTCCATTCACGGTATTTGGAAGTACTATCCCACCACTGTTCATAGGCCTCACGCCCTTTTCGCTGGTCGCAGAAGTAGAAAAGACTAAAACAAGCGCCCCCACATATAATAGGGACATAAATTGCCATTTCGTAAATCCTTCCAATGACACTATTGCGATAACGTGGAGACGATCCCATAACGATAATGCACAAGGAAACACTGGCACCGAGTGTAAATGACAAAAAAATTACTACAAATGCTAGCATTTTGCTAGTTAACAAATACCGTAGATTTCACCTTTAATCGTAAGTTAAGCTTCCTTTTTTTATAGCACACGATATATTTACATATAAATAGATCTATGTATATATATATGCATGCATGCTATTTATTTTTGTTTTGTGGATATCAAGAAGATACCATAAAAGTGGAGAATAAAAAACAAAATGAAGGTAAAAAAATAGACCTCTAAAAAATTTACAAGCAATAAAACAAAGCACACCATAAAACTCCCACAACTCAAGTGAATCCCAAAGTAACAAAATATAATTCTGTCTCCTTTTATTCAATAGTTTTGAATCAAATGGTACGTTCATGTTTTTGTGTCGACCAATGAAACCAAAATGGAAAAAAATGAGTAATACACACTGCAATCAACCGGTGAATAGGGACCATAAAGTAAATTGAAATATTAAAAAGGATCTCCAGCAAGAAGAATATACTTCATTTTATCGTACCCCCGGGACAATATATTTGAAACATTCAGCATTTCTACCATTACACAGTGCCCACAGGTGCCTCGCGTTAGCGCATCTCTTTTAAATCTACCACCAGCGCTGTCCACGGGTTTGGTTCCAAGGACCACCCCACCCGGTCCCCTTCTCCACCCTCTACACGAGGACGACCAGTTCTAGCCTCCCCACCTCACCGACTGCGATGTCCCGGCTCAAGTTCACCCCGTAGGTCACACCCTCTCCGTGTCGCACTTGCTCAGCGTCCCCAATCCGGGTGGCCCTTCATCTTCCGTGACAGCGATGGGGCACAGGGGCGGGATGTTGGACTCCTAAGGGGATCCCTTGCTTCCCGTAACACCGCTCGGGGAATTCGGCTGCTCGTGCGTTTAAAACGTGGCCGTGGTGGGCGTGCAGGGCCGCGGTTGTGGTGGAGCTTCCTCCTGCGGGTGCGGCATCGTTCGTATGGGCTCTTTTGGTCGTGGCGATGACTGCTGTAATCGGAGAGCTTGGCGCTGGGTATCGTCGTAACGTTGCCTCGAGAGCCTCGATTTTTTGGAAAGCGGCAACATCGTCGGGTACGCGTGCGAGGGGTCGGAGATCCGATCCATCGGGAAGGCCGGTATCGTAGAAATCGGCGCCCTACACGTCGCCGCTGGTGGGGTGGAGTTGGCGTGATTGCTGTAATAATGACGATCGCTGTTAGTAGCGTGGCTCGTATTGGATTGAGCGTACTGTTTTAGTTGTTGGATCGCGTGCTGGATGACATTCACCCAGTATCGTTTCTCTTCCGGTGTTTTTGTGATGAAGGTAAGTTCTTTGCATTCTGGACTGATAAGTCTAAAACAATTGACGATATTTTGGGAAGGTGAATCCTCCACATCAATGACGCACAGCATCTCCAGTGGCATTGCACCACGCAGCCGCAGACAGGCAGAATCAAGTTCCTCAGCGTAGCATGCCCAGTCGCTGAAAAGCAGCAGGACTCTCTCATGTCTGGAATGACTGGTGCTCTTGTACAGCCGGCTCTTGTGCAACAGTATATATTTGCTGCTGCGTGCATGGAACGGATCCATCTGTATCCGATTGGCATCCCTCGAGGAAGTTTCTCGTTGTCGACGTGAGTGGAACCAATCCATTGCTCGAATGCTCATCCACGAATGAGACTCAAATTTTGCCTCGACGTTGTGTACATCTTGCTGGGCAAGCACATCCAACACCATGTTGTTTTCCCCATTCATGTGAGGTAAAATATCCAAAAGTTGTTGCTGTAGCAACTCTTGGTTCGTTCCATGGAGCGCTCCACTATGCAGCAAGCAGCACGCCGCATACACTATGCGTCGTAATGATGGTAAAGGCGCCGCGAGCAGTCTCAATAAGGTTTCAAATCCACGCCAACCCTTTGGGATCACCACTGACGGCTTTGAAGCTAGAACAATACCATAGTTGCTTTCTGGAGGAGGGTTGTTGGTGGTGGAATTTTTATCTAAGTTATTTGGAAACCTGCCTTCACTCAAAGCTTTATCGAATAGGGATAGCGATCGAACACGGGCATCATCAGGTACTCCAGAGGGTCCAAAAGCGTGTAGGAGGACCTTTAAAAATGGCGCATATCGCAGCAGCTCATCGCAATCGCTAAGCTTCCTATTCCTTGTTGGAGTGGTAAGTGTAGCGGTGTGTGGATTTCTCGGATTAGTGCTCACGTTCGTACCTTGTTGACATGCTTCCGCAAGCCCCAGAACCCGCGGTAACGCCTTATGCATGTAATTGAGCGTGTAATCAACATGCTCGTAAATGAAAAGCTTCAACACATCTGAGGTAAATAAGGCGAGAATAATTTCAGCCACCTTTGATTCATCAAGTCTCTCCGACGGTTGCATAGGGTTTTGATCACTAGTGTGTCTAGCGGAAAAGAGAGGTGAAAATGCTTCATCATAAGCAGGGGTCGCATTCTGCTTCCCCAGCAGCGAGGTATTTTCGGAATTTTCCTCGCTGGAATCACTATTGGATGTGCGCAGCTTGTACGAAGATTCTTGCGATGGCTGGAGACCTCTCTGCCATGTCATTCCATGCTCATTTCTACCCTCGATTCGAGAGCAAGTCGAGGAGGTGCAGGTCGTTTGGTTCCGATTTTCCGCAAACGATCTGACCGAATGGGCATCGTACAAGTACGGCGTCGCTTTTCGATCGAATATATGTGTCTTCCTATCCAAGGGATCCGTATTTTCTTTCTCAAGCTCCCACTGGAGCGAGGTTAATTGAGTCACAGCATCTTCAATTTCTTGAACTAGCATCCCATGTACCTTACACAAGATCAATACATTAGCAAACAACTCTTGGTGCTGTTCGGGAGTCAAAAATTGGACGTTATTATTAGAAATTGTAGTGCCAGCTTGGAGCTGCTGAGCGGCATGGAACATCGTTTGTTTACCATTTTGCAATACACAGTCCTCACCAGGCAGGCTGCTACTTCCAGTCCTGATTTCCTGACATGATCTCTCGCTTGGCGTGGTAAGAGAGGAGGAGTGAAGCCGTCGCTCTTCGATATGTTGATTAGAAGCACAGTACGGAGAAGGCGTGCATACTGGATCATAATGCTTCGTCCTGGGCACAGCCGTTGAACTGCAACGTGTCGTTGTAGCAAGGGCCGGTGGAGACCCCACCGATGAGCTTTTTGACTCTCCCGAGGGGGAAGCGGAGGTTTGAATCATCTCCATGACGTAGGCGAGCCTGGAAAAGGTAGCCCACTCATCCTCGCGAAGACTGCGGAGCACTTGTAGGCATAAGCCTGCCGATTGCAAGATACTAGACGATGTGCACATTCTGCAAGAAAATCCAAAGCGGCGAGGGGGGAGGGGGAGAGGGGCAAACGAGAAACAAGTAATCACTAAAGGTTATTCGTTTTTTCTGTTCCTTTTTTTTTGACAGTTTGATGTCTTTTTAGTGGTAAGCTGCTTTAAACGCTTCAGTAATGGTGGGGATAGGCACTCACCTTTTCCTTTTATGTTCGATCCCTTCCTCAATATGAAAGAGGATATGTACCATCAACGACACTTGCGTTGGCAAAGAATAAGAAGACCGCGCCCAGAATAAATTAATTTTCAAAAAGAAAGAGGAAATAATAGGGAACGTTGTGTTTTAGATGAAGATCTGATAGTATAGGTAGAGGAGGCATTCAATGGGGAAGTCCATTCGTTTGGGGTTCCACACTCTCACTGGTAATAAAAGAGTGCGAATAGGAAAGAGAGAAGGAGTCGACACAGCTAGGCATTTTCGCTTTTTCAGAGTGCATTGGACGAGTCGGTATCTGTGACGAATAGCAAAACACAGCAAACATGCAAAATGACAAGGAAAGAGTGTAGCTGGAATGCGATTAATAACAATTTGAGATAATGCAAATTGTTCATGACCTAGTATATATGATGTATTACGCAAATGTAGTTTCAAAAGAGTTTCAGTACAGAGGAGAGGAAGCAATAAAATCTGCTCTGCAGAGTAGGATACTATTGGCATTCTGGGAAAAAAGAGATAGGCTCTTCAAATATTGTGGATACCAGGTCCATGAATCTCGCGACGATACTAGCCTTCTCGCTCCTCCGCACGCTTTCCATCGATCATTTGCAGTAGTCTCATGAGTTTGCTTTCTTGGATCTGCTTGGCGCGTCGCTGCGTGCGATCGTGCTCTATCCTAGGCGCCTCCGTCATCGCTTGAAAGTCCCTCAGCTCCATCACACCACTAATGGTGTGGCTTAGGCCGTGATGACTGAACCATTCACGCACAGCAGAATCAAACCTCGAGGCCGTTGCACGATCCATGTAATAGCTTGACGACGGCTGCCGCGTATCGTTCAGATGACCGCCGCTTTGATTATGAGATAGGGCGTTGCCCATGTAGTTGTCAAACAGCGCGCGGCCGGGCTCACCGGACGCGCCTTGTTCGATCATCACACTCAACAGCGATTTCTCCCGCTCGGTGGGCATCACTGCAGCCGCCGAGGTCGACGCGGGGGTCTGCTGCGGTTGGTTGAAGGCAGGGGGGGATGCGGACGAACCGTCGTTTCGCTGCCCCTCCCGAACGGCGACGGCGATCCGAAACGGCGCCACCTCCTTGAGCAACACGCTGATGGTATCGAGCACCGAGGCGCGAATCTCCACCGGAACGCAGGGGGAATAAACCAAGTTCAGAAGCGCCTTCACGCACCCGGTTTGCACCAAACGCATCAACGCAGGGGGGTTGTAATGGCAGGCCGCCTCGACGGCGTCGATGAGTGCGATGAGCACGCGCACCTGCGCGGGGTTCACCTCCACAAACACGCCAGGGGTCCGTGGTACGGTTGCCTCCTCCGGCAAGAAATACCGAGCCCCTCTTTCCTCTTCCTCCTCCCTTGCTTGATGCCGCCGAAGCAGACGCCGCCGCTGCTTCTGAAAGATCCCCTCAACGTGCTGGAGGAAGCACTGAAAGATCTCCGCGGCGTAGTGCATCAGGCACCCCTCCGCGATGCAGCGGCGCTGGTAATGAAGGAAAAGACACATTCCTTGACATAACCGCAGCGCGAGCTCCTGCTCCTCGAACGAAACCTCCGTCAAGAGCGCGGTGATCGCGCTGCTGCTACTGCTGCCGCTCCCGCCATGCGCGCTATTCCCGATGGAGGTCCACCGCAGCGCCTCTTCCTCACTCAAGACGACCTCCACGAGCTCCCTCAACCCCACCCTCGCCCGCACCTCCGTTCGCGGAAGTAAAATCCGATGAAAAAGCGCGGAGGTGAGGTTGAGGGTGCTCAGCGCCCGCTGCACGTGCGTCCAGAGCTCCGCTCCCTCGCCATCCTCCCCCTGAGAGGGGTGCGAGGGGCTACCTTGCGAGCGGCCTTTCCCTTCCCGATCTTTCCCGGCAACGGCACTTGGCGTGAGGTTGGAGAAACGAATCGCATCAAACGGCTGGATCTGAACCGCGCCCCCGGCTCGCCGTTCGGATGACGGAAATCGGTTCGGATTCGAATGTTGAGGGTTCGCGTTCGTCGAGCGCTTACCGCTCTCCGTCTGCGGTGTGGTTTCCACCGGCATCCCCTCGTGTGGGGCCCTCGCCAGACGTGTGGAGGTTTGCGCGGTGAAGTCGATGAGAATCTCCAGCGCCTCGTAAAGACCCTCCCGTCGAACAGACGCGAAGGGTGAACTCACCTTGTCGACACTTTGACGAAAACGGAAGGCAAGCTCGTGCTCTCTGAACTCTTCGGACATGATCCGCACCCATTGCTGGGAGTACACATCGAGCGTAAAGTCCGTCAGCTTCTCGCAAGCAAGCGGCGCCATCGAGTTGCGGGAAATCGCGTGTGGGGTTCGGCGATGGTGCAACGTCGTAGGGTCTTTGTATGGATGCGCGTGATGCTTAGAAAGTGTCGATGGCTTTAGGTTCGTTTCCGGCGGCGTTTGTAACGCAGGGTCCGCAGGACCAGCCGTTGCATCAACGCCGAAATGGGAGCCACGGTGGATCACGTGCGATGTGGGGTCGGACGAATATCCTCGTAGGGGAGGCTTGGCATTTGAACTATCCTGTCGAAAAGCACTAGAGACAACCTCCGTTGTGGGAGAATTCATGGACGCACTAACTTGCTATTCGTCCTGGAATTCTATTATCACCTTTACTTCCTTTGGGTGCTTCCGATCGCAATTACAGAGGACAGAAGCGGGAGAATATGAGAAAGCACTGGAAGGCTCGAGTGCCAAAGAAATTCAAATCCGAATGCAGAACTAAAGCCTACGAGGGTACGCCATAACGAGTGCAGTCGAAGTCATTAAAGGATTAACTGAGAGATCGGGTCGAGTCCAGAATGGGGAATCACATTTAAGCTCATTTCAAATCCTTCATTATCCCACGTCGTTCCAAGGATTATACGATCACCATTGTTTAGAAAGCGCGTACAGCCTATGAAAAAGACTGCATATATAACATTCAACAGTATGGCGCCCATTTTTACATGAGTATTCATTGATGTTGTTTCTCCCCACACACACTTTTACCTGCTCACGCACTCCTCTTATACGTGCAAAGGGGCTCTTCAATAACAATACGTACCGTGAACAGTGGTGCGCAATCATTAATCTAATACACATTTGTGAGAACGCAGGAGTTATCTCAGTCAAGCTGACCTGCCAGAAGGCGAACCAAAGAATAGTTGTTAGGGCCACTAGAATAACACACCATTACTTTCACAAAGAAAGGTTTTAAAAATATTTACATGTATATAAAAAGGGTTCTATACATTTTGTTGGGGTCCATTTTTTCTTCACATTCAATTTAATTTACCTCTTAGGAGGGGGGAAAGGGGAGGCGCGAGGGAACAACGGAATGATTCGCACACGATCAACTCTCAGATTCGTATTGTTGGGCGACTTTTTTAAATATGCTGACCTGCCTTTCGGCCTCGTCCAGCACCCATCGCGTGCACGCACTTGGCGTTCCGACTACGATCTCCTGATTGCACTTCCCATTGAGAGCCCACCGCAAGATTTCATCCTCTGGGTGGCATACAAAAGATACAAGCGAAGTTTGGCTACGATGCGGCCGAGTATTGTCGTGTTCCCGTTTCTTATCGACGCCAGTATTGGAATCCAGCCCTTCATCATCCTCAGGGTTCCACTTCAAGTTCAAAAGGGGGTCTGCCTCGCAGCGCAGGTCGCCGTCACTATACACATGCACCGCCACGCCGTCCGGTGAATTTGTCTGGTACAAAACTGGAATCTCAATCGCCTTCGACGCATTCCCATTTACCGCGGAGAGAATCCGCTTCTTTCCACTTTCTTCGTCCTCGGTTGGGATTTCGATAAAGCGACTTTTACCAGCACCGCGGATCGGCCACTGCAGCCGCCCGCCGCCGCGATGCAAAGTCGAAAAAGGCCGCACCAGCGCTCGACGAGGGAGGTCCACATCCCCTGCCGGATCCACCAACCCCATCCGAGCCCCCCCTCTCTCCGTCAAGAACGGCTGCCAGTGGCCAAGAACGAAGAAAAGATACTCCGGAGACGCACCGGGGGCTGATTGAGACCCCTTCGAGGGATCCTCCTCGTCGCGAGGGCGTCGCGAAGGCCCCTCAGCGAGAAAGGGGTCCTCGCCGTCATCCGCCATCGACTGTGCGGCGAGCAAATAACGGGTTGAGAAGAACGTGAATTCGACCACGGTAACGTTATCCACATGTGGTGGAAGGGGTTTTCCTAACGGGGTGACAGGGTTGGTGATCGCCGTCGCGGACATCCGTCGCGCGGCCTGCTGACGCCGCCAGAGGGAAGAGATCGAGTAATCCCCCCGCACCACCTCGCGCGCGGGGATCGTCAGCGGTTTCTCATATAGCGGATAATACTCATAGTGATTCCCAAACACCCTCTGCGTGAGGATCGTATCGAGGTACAGGTACTCCTGGCGAAGATATTTGATCTGCTCCTGAAGCATGGCATAGCGCTCGAGGCGCTCCGCCGGTACACCGGCTTGAATCGGATCGAGCGCCTGCCTCGCGACCATCTGATCCCGTATGTGCTTCTTGAGCTCCTCGC